CCTTTGTATTGCACAACGTTTTCCACTTATGAAAAACAACAGGAAACAGCTCTTTATCTTTTTAACATAACTGTAATTTTCAGGAAGCTTGTTGGGACATCTGATGCTCCTCTTGGGAGAAAAGTGTCCTAATTAGTATAGGCTTTTATAATTTTTTCTATAGTTTTGTCATTATTTGTGTGTCTCTGTACATCATCCCTATGACATGCTGACAAACTGTTCAGGGTGTTCACCACTTCTCGCCCAGATACAGCTGGGACTGGCTCCAGCCCTCTACGACCCACGATAAACAGGATGGATAGATTTTTTAGCATCTGGGCCAAACATAACCTCCAGATTTTAAAACTCATCCTGCAGTATGACACACATCGTTCCTCCTGTGAATATTTTTCCACAGTGCTTAACACTCTGCATGTCTTAACACTCTGCATGATATTTTGAAGCTGGAGTTTTAATACAGATCAGGTTTTATCTATTGACTGCACATGTGTGAGAAATAAATGGAGGAAGAACATAATTGAGGTATAAATGAACACAGATATTTTTAAGACATATATACAGATATAGATTGCAGCTTTGTTTACCAGTAGTACAAATATAACTGCAGCTTCAATAAACAAGTAAGATTAATCTCACATCTTGATGAGTTTGGTGATTTTATTTACAAATACCAAACAATGACTTTGATCCAGATCATACATCACAAGAGAAATCGATGTGACAGTTTTCTGAATTGCTGAGGAATTTATTTGTCCAACCCGGCGCACCACACAAAAAAACCCATCTCTGTCCTTCTCTGTGACACATTTGTTTCATTTTATGAAACTGACTTTTCTATTCAGCCATCATTTGTGATGTGAACCTCTATCATCCTCCTCTTTGGTTGTATATATGTGTGCAGCTAAGTAGAGCAGAGCATAGCAGAGCATTTCCCTTTTCATGGCCTCACCGTCTGCTCCCTGGAGTCTGTAAATCCAAGTGGCTTGCTTCCCAACACTGAGTCAAACAGGGAATAAAAATACCTTCGTTTCAGACTCTATTAATTACTGCTCGTCTCTTCCTTCTCTCCTGCAGTTTGTTTTAAACTACTAATAAGATTCCATCCCATTACGTTTGAATCATAATACTAATTAAATGTTTCCCCGAATGTGAACGCTACTAATATTAAGCAATTTATCCTGACAGTTCATGTGCCAGATTAATAATGATTCTCTATTGCACCTTGCATTGAGGCATATTTGACACCTGACATTTACGCCTTGCCTGTGGAGAGATTACAACAATCGTGCACAAAGACCTGGAGACACAAACTACAGAATAGTACAACACTATGAACTGTATCTCTCCCTGGGCTCCACAATGCAGCCATTACTCTCATTCATCACAAACTTTTCTGGAGAGACAACTGGCTGTGCTCTTCTGCAGAAATACACAAAACTACCTGTGGATTGCAGGTTATTCATTTCATTCTTACAGCATAGATGATCAATATTTGTGAAAATGAACAATTCAGAAACCACAGGACTTGCATTGCACCATGGTGTCAAAATATAAAACCGTTCATGACATTGACAAAATGAGTCCCAGAATACTTAAATTTTTTAACACCGACGTGAAAGAACTTAAATTTCTATAATAAATAATAATTATCCTACGAGA